TCATCTGTCCCCAGCAATGAAACCGTTTTTAAGAGATCTCCTGAATGTTCAGTTTGGCAGCTAGCTGTGTAGTTTGGCAGTTTAAACACTACACCTCTGGGTGCCGTTGTGCTCTGAGGCTAGTCATGGATCACATGGTGATGTGGCTGGCTGGGGGTGCTTGTAGTCAATATCTCCTGTCCCAGATCCTCAAGCCTGTCTCTAGTGGCATCATGCCCCGTCTAGATTACCCTTCTATCAGAAAGTAATGGCTGCTTAGGAGAGTACAGGAGGCATTCATATTTAGTCAGTGGACAGACAAACTAATTTACAGCTCTTCTTATCTTGAGCCTTCAACAAGTGTGAAGGGATTTCTGAAAGCTGCTGTGTTTGTGTTTTTGTGTTGTGGTGGCAGAATGTGTGTAGTATTAATTATAAACAAGTTTGTTTGCCTATATGCACAAATGGTTGCCATTATAAGTACTGAATTGCAAAAGAAAAATGCCATACATTTATGTGTTCTGTCACTTGTCAGAGTTCTGTGTCTCAAATAGCCAGTGACAGTGTGTAAAAACTTTTTTGCATATATACATAATCCACTTATACCTCCGTACTCGGCTTGGTGTATGGCCACACATGCTAATTATATGGATTCCGATTCACCGCAATGACAGTGCAGTGGACTGGGAATTAAGCGTCAGGTCCAGTGGTCATGTTGATGCCCTTTGAGCCATTAAATCCTCTCCTACAACTACCTCTGCTGGTGCAAACTCAGGTCATAGGTTAGTTAAGTCTTATTAAAGTACTGCCAAAGGTAATAACAGGAGTCATATTGCCTGATAAGTCTCTTTGGTAAAGCCTGGGTTTCCATGATAACAGCTTAATACTACACAGCAACAGCTTGGTTACTTAGTTTGTGGGATTTTGGCTTTTTTTTTTTTTTTCTTTGCTGTGACTTCTGTTTCTTATCACAATTCAACAACAAAAACTCTGTGCAAGCAAATAATATTTGAAGACAGCCTGGCCCATTTAAAAAATGTTTTAATTTACTATCTGTTGTGAAAGTGATTGTTCTCTGTTTACCTAAGTGTTTCCAGCACATTAGCCCACTGTGTAAGTTTTTAAATCGTGGCACAATAAATCTGATTAATTTTAACTGCTGGTTTGTTTCATGAGTGACTTTAATTAGCAATTTCTTTATTGTACTGGGTCTTTGAAATTGCACTGCACAAACCTCTTTTATGTGCCTCCTACTGCATTTAGGTCCTTGGGAAAGGCCTTTATCTGTTAATGTATGCTACCAGTTTATAATCAGGTTGTGAGGGGATAAAACAGTCAATAGGCAAAGATCTTTGTCACTGTTCTGTTTCAAATGTTCATTGCTACATGGCCCCTTCCAGTCTTGTTTTGGAGCTGAAATGCTGTGCAAGCTGCAGTAATAGGTCCTGATTTGAACTCATCAGCATGTGCTCCAATGAAGGTAATCACCACTACTGTGTGATCAGAGATCTGTCCATCATCACCCACAGCTCTTATTCAACCGGAAGCCAGGACAAGATGTGAAATTAGCCCCAGTTGTAGCTCAAAGTAGTGATATGACTGACAGCAATTGTTCCAGTGGAAATACTAACATTGAGAAGTTGTATTACCATCTAGTGATTGGCAGGTGTCTGTGGGTGATATGCTTAGACATGCAACCCCCAGATTAAACCTGAGCTGCCCCCCTCCTCTGGGTTTTGGGATATTTAGGTTGAAATTGAGCTGCCAGTGGGGTGGCAGCTGGTCACGACGTGCTTGCTTCACCTCTGGTCTCTGGAGATTGCAGCCCAGCCAGTCACTTGTAATTAAAAGCGCATAAAGACAGATCAAGCTCTTTCCTTCTCTCTCCACTGAAGATGCCAAAAGGCTGAAAAGGAATCCTCTAGATGCCCAGAGCAGCAACCTCTGGGGAGAGTTCCTTCATTTTTATTAAGCCTGCAAAAGTAAATTGTTCAGTTGTTGCTCTTTATTGCAACATACAATGTGGACTGAGCACAGTTTTTATTCAGGTTCACCTATGCTCATCATAGTAATTGCTCCAAAAGTTAGTTTTCCTCCTAAACCCCAATTACTACTTGTTTTCATGTACAATTCTGATCATTTATTTCCATGGTAAGTTTTTTCCCATCAAGAGAAACTCATGTTATCTGTGAACACTGGAATAATACCTACTGGCCTTGATGAAGCCAAATGTAATGTGCAGTAATCAGAGGCAATCATCGGCTCACTCCAGGACTGTTTCCTTTAGACTTGGCTGGTTCTGAAGAATCATCCCCAGCCACCTCCCAAATCTGAAAGGGAAGGAAAAGCAGAGGAAAAAGATTTGAGGATTTTGACAAGACAAAACTATTATTACCTACAGTATGCCCTCTTTTCATTTTAACACAGTTACTGTACTACCTACAGTCATTTTCCTTTTTAAATTGTTTGTGTTAAATAGTGCTTTTTTTTTTGTGAACATGAAAAAGTAAAAGTAAATCTCAAAACGATTAAGTGAAGTGAGTAAACTTTGCTGGAATGATGCTCCAAAATAGCTGATATGCGTAACTATTTACTGCAAAACATTCAATTCAAAGCATGAACTGCAATTTAGCTGTGTTGCTAGCAGATGAGTGTACATCAGGGGCTGACAGATAGCCACCCATGAAAGCCTCAACCTAGAAACCAGCATTCATGACCTTCATGGTGCCTCTGCATCTAGGTGGACAGAAGCCATTCTTTGCTTCAAAGGATTTTAAAATTGAGGTCTTGAAAGGTGTGAACTAGATGTGTGAAGTCAAAATTTCACCCAACAAAAATCCCCACGTTCTGATACCCAAATCTTCCCTGTCAGAAACAGAAGCGCACAGCATAGACTATTAGCATAGAGAAAGCCTGGCTGTCAGCAGAGCTGCTATTGTCTGTCTGCCTGTGTCTATCTCCTCACCTTCCAGCTGTCTCTGTTTCCCAGCTTCTTTTTCTTCAGCCTGCCGCAGTCGCACTCTTTCAATCAACACAGTCAAAGCAGCCTATACATATTTACCAGCACCAATGCTAATATGTACTCTTGCTGCCTGTATTCATATTTACCAGCTGTAATGCTCTGGGCTCCCTAGTCCACATTTTATTAAGGGACGGTTATTGATGTGGCAGCAGTTCTGGCTCCAGGGCAACACTGTTACACTCAGTGGAAGAGCAATGGTTCTGTTTCCTAAAATATCCATGGACTGCCTTTATGTCACAATAAAGCAGTGGTACAGTACCCACTCTTATGCAATACTGAACAATATCAACACATAGTGTGTGAGGGTGTGCTTAAATCTTTCTGCTGAATTAAAAACAATGTATAAAAGCTAAAGTAATTTTATACTGACAAAATTGTCTAATGAATCTGTAGGAAATGAATGCACAACAGTTGTGGAGATTGATTAATCACTGAGATAATTAATGATAAAATACCAAACTATAAAAGTTTTCCAAATGTGATATTTTGTTGCTTTTCTTCATTTTATCTGTATTAATTAAATCAAGTAAAAAAAAAATTGATACTGTCAAATTTCACAAAACATCAGCCATCTAAGGGCACACCTGAAGAATAGTAGTACTAACTTCAGTCAATGTGATTCAGGACAAATGTGATTCTGATGATGGCTCCGCAAACATCACTGATTTCCATACAGCTTGCGAGACACTTGTGAAGGTGCCGCCCTTGCCTTTCTTGGCACCCGCTGGCCGCTCACCGTGGCCTAGGGCAGCCAAGTGGAAATGCAGCAATCCTGGCACTGCCAGTTCTCACTCTGGGTCCAGTCACTGTGGAGTGCACCAGTCTCCCCTGTCCATCTGTCACTCCACTCCCGTAATCTCCTGCTCCTGTAACTTATCTAATGATGTCTTTGCTTAGAACAATGGGGACAATATTAGTGGGTAATACTGATTTTTTTTTAAACAACATGTGAATTATCAGAGATGTCCCTTGCCTTTACATTATTTTGGGTTAGTTTGCAGATGGTCTCCATAATCTGGAACAATGGATGTGAGTTTATTTGCATACCAGTATTGTCAAAATGTCCCTTTGACGTAGTAGAATTGTGTGCATTGTTGTGAACTGGACATCAGCTGTACCAACAATCATGAAGTTCACAGATACTGAATATTAATTATACAAGCTCTACGTCACATCATGCTCTCCACAGGTCTAACCCCCACTGGTCCCATCGGTCAAACCACTTGACACAGGTCCTCATAAAGGACGGGATGATAAAACATTTCTGAATAATTACACTGACTGTAGCAGACAGGTAAATCACAGGAAATGTCAACTAACACAAGCCTGATTGGACTGGGTCCATGATGGATCTTCACTGGCACACACTTCTTCCTCTGACATTCTGACATGCACGTTTGGCATGTGTTTGCTGCTGCTCAAAAAGGAGGCTGTTTGATATGCTGCCCAACTCCTCGCCCACTTGTTTGTTCTTGGGTTCTGCCACATGTCATAATGGTTCGAGACAAATCACTTCTAGCTTTGAGACGAGATAGTGATTGTATCAAACTGACCCCTAACAAGCTGTCAGCTCAGATTTGATAAAGCATGCATCAGCACCAGCCAGGCTGGCATCCATTTGGATAGAGAGAGCAGGTCTTACTCAAACCGTGTTATTCTTTTTAGTTTTTTATTTTCCTAGATTGTTGGACGTGTCTCGTACTAATGATGATGGCTCCCACTGGTGCTGCAGTGTGATATACTATAGACCATAGGACTCAATTTGTTCTGCAATGCTGTGAAGTCAAGAAGAAACTGCATAAAATGTCTGTTTATAAAGATAATGGATAAGTGGAGGGGGGATGAATAGTGTTTCAGTTTCTCCTTTTATATCAGCTCAGAATCTCCAGTTCCCCAGTTACCACATAGAGGGAGCTCATGCGTATTGAGAAACCAAACCGTGGAAATGCTGAATGAGTGTGTGTAAGAGCCAGAGAGAGAGGTGCGGTGGGCAAAATCACGTTGTTGGGGACGAATAATGTAACACAAACCAGCAGCAAGAATCTTCATTTGAACTGTCACTGCGGACCAACTTTGTCCAAATCGGTGGGAACCTGGTGACCCAGCGTATGCCCCGAGGCGGCGTGACAACGTTGGGAGAGGAAGAGGGGGGAGGAAATATCTTGCATTACTATTTTGAAACGAGTACAGTGAGATTTTGGGGGGCGTGGACGGCAGAGAAGCACCAGTGAGCATGTTGGCTCTTGGCTGCAGTTTCACTGTAGTGATGTGCCGGGTAAAAGAGCTGGACAACGCTTAGACTGAGTGGTGGGACGCGGAACCGTGCGGTTGCAGTCTGTCGTTGGCAGAAGACTTGTGTCATTTCGGAGCCTATTTGGCACTATTTGGATTTATTTCTCCAACGCGCTCCCGCGTTAAAGACTTTAAGGAAGGAGCAGGAGCTATTTAAAGGCTTTAGGAAGCAGCAGCTGCCGTGCGTAACGGGCGAAATCTGGTCGAGCAGCTATTTGAATGACAATAGTTTGAGGAAATCGCTTCTGTATTTTTTTTTTTAATGAAGCCAAATTATTGAGACCGTTTATGATAACAGTACAGTTGATGCTCAAATGACATTTGGTTATTTGAAAACGGTGTAAAGTGAAAGTGAAGTGGTCTTCATTTGTAAATATTGACAGGTGCTGCAGTCGTATGGACTGTATCAGACTAAGCCTTTAATTCATTTAAGACTGTCATGTCTTAAAACATCGCGGACCTTTTAGGTTTCCATACCGATCTTTGGTATGGATAATCCAAGAATTGTTTAATCAAGTTTTCTTTACTTTCCTAATACGCCGAGAAAACAAGCATTGTTACTAACAACCTTATAATGCGCTTGAAACGCCGAATAGGAAAGTAACCATCAGTTTAGTGTCTTCTTTCTTCTGAGTTGTAGCCATCTGGCAACAGCTAAAATGACAAGCAACGGACCTGTCATCGTCTACGAGTGGCTCAAGACCCTCCAGCTTGCTCAGTATGTCGAGTCTTTCGTGGATAATGGATATGACGACTTGGAGGTTTGCAAACAAATAGGAGACCCAGACCTGGATGCCATCGGCGTCTATATCCCTCATCACAGACAGAGGATTCACGACGCGGTGAAAAGGCTAAAGGAGGAAGCCAAAGAGACAGCCAGTGGACTGTACTTCACTCTGGAGCCGATGCCACCCGCAGCTGAGGTTTATACCAGTCACATGGTGGACCAGTATGAGTCCAAACTCCGGGGATCCAAGTCTTGGACCGAGCCCAACAGCGACCGGGTTGGGCGCAATGGTGGGTACATGGGCACTCAGAGGAACCTGACGCTGGGCAACAGGAGGGAGTTGGTGTTTTACCCCAAGTTGAAGCTGAAGATCATGATCAGGGATAAACTCATCAGAGATGGTATCAACCTCGCCAAGCCACCCTACTCCAATAAGGTACAGTAAGAGGGAACTGTCAGTTAAATGACCCAAGCCCCTTCATAAAAGCTCAGGATACACAGTGCATCATAGTCAGAACTTTCACACTGCAAAAATATTCTACTTAGCTAATTTAGCTACACAAGATGAAAAAAATAAAAATCACTTTTTAAAGTATTCCACTGACATAAGATGAGAAAATGACACCTGGTTTAAGAAACTGTTTAAACAAATTGATTTTCAAAATGATAGCCAGACTGATGGTTGATATTGGAGGTTTTTTTGGGGGTGCAATGATTTGCAGCTGTTTTTTGCAGTGTAGCAGAAGTCTTTTCTATGGCAGGAGAAGGAGCCTCACCTGTGTGGCATCATCTGTCTTTTGGTTGAAAGCATGTTGTCAGTCAGAGCATGTTTTGTGCAAAGGGCATTTTTCATTCTTGGGTTCAACATCAAGTTAAGGTAAGAAATTCAGCCACTGGCAAATGCCAGTATGATGCTGAAACATTTTAGGCCCTGCTGGACTTTGCAGAAGTGAATAGTTGATGTCAATGTGAATGATAGGAATGAAGTTGGTGTGGATCAATAAGCAGAAAGTGGAGAGGAGCTTT